GGATCCCTTCTAATCTAGGCTTCTAGACACAGATTTCATTGTTGGCAAATGTGGAAAATAGGAGAGAGAAGTTATAGATATTCCCACCCCCACCCCCCATCCTTGCTCTCCTCCCCCTCCCCCATAGCACCCTCCCTCATGTCCAGGAAAATCAAGAGCAATGTGGCTCGTGGCCCACTATCGGGTTTGGAACACCACTTTATTGATATGTCACCAGTAGTCACCACCTTCACTTGGTTCAGCACAAATATAAAGGACAGAGCCAACACAGGTTCTGAGAGTCCCTCTCAGGCAACCAGATGGGGTGGCCAAGGGCTGGTGGGTAGGGGAGGGGTCTGGATACACTGGGGAGAGCCAGATGAACACCGTACTATGGGATCTGCCTGGAGCTGACCATCCTTTACCACTCTCACATTCACTCTCTTCTCTCTCTGTCTCACACACACACACACACACACACACACACACACACACACACATACACACATATATATTTGTATAGCCTTATATTATACATCTTATATATATAAAATATATATTTATACTATACACAGGCAGTAATGCTGTGGGGAGGGGGGAGAGGGAAGTAGGGGACACCCAGTTAGGACTATAGACACCCCAAGGATGCAGTCAGAGGGAGCAGCATTAGGAGGCAGAGTGACAGGTGCCTGTCCTCCCACAACTCGAAGTGGGGAGCATTGCCCTGAAGTGGCCCTTGAGGCCACCCTCTGTTTTCCATGAAGGATTCTTGGACCCAGATTTAGCCAGAACCACAGCAGAAAGGCAAGGTCTAAGGAGGGGAAAGGACTGGGGACCCTTGGTGAGTTGAGGGAGGTCTGAGGGGCAGCAAGAACCTAGAAATAGTGTGAAAGTCGGGAAATAGGTGGGTGGGGGCAGGCCTAGCCTCCTAGAGGTAAAAACCTTGGGCTCACATTGAAGAAAACAGATAGTTGCTATAAAGTCATCACAGTCCTGTCAAACCGAGCTGGGACCTGCTAGAGGCACCCCAGGAAACCTACAAGTCTGGAGCCCCTCAGGGACCTCCTGGGAGCTAAGTGAAGAAAAATCCAGGGTTAGGAAGAAGGGAGCTGTCAGTCAGCTGAGGCTGACTGCTTATAACAGCAGGGGCAGTCCATGTGGGGTTGGTTCTGATCGAACAGGGAGATCCTGGCTGTAGTTGAGGGTGGGTGGGGGGATGAGGAGTTGGAATCCAGCAAGGAGAGAAAATGATCACCCATAAGCATCACCTTCTTCCACCACGGCACCCCCCCCCGAAGTCCCCATCAGGTTGAGTGCAAACTTTAACTCAAAGGATCCATCCCTCTTAGAGCTAGGAGGTCATCTGCTCTAGCACCTTGCCTTCAGGTAGGTAGGTAAGGTGGCACTCCTATTTTATAGATGAGGCGGCTGAGACCCCAGAGACTAAGGGCTTTGTCCAGGGTCTCCTGGACAGTAAGCAGTGTCAGGAGGATCACAGCCCAGGAATTCTGCCCCCAAGTACAAGGTTCCAGTGGCCTCACTGGAGGTAATCATGGGACAGGATGTGTGGGGGAGTGCTGGGGTAGGAGTACCCCCAATGAATCTCTCACAGATGAACATCATTTTGAATGTTTTTCACACCAATTACCTTGTTTGGACTTCACAATATTCCATAGGTAAGGCAGACAGAGATCAAAACCCTCATTTTGCAGATGAGGAAACTGTGCCTCAGAGAAGAGAACTGGCTTATCTGGTGAAGCAGAATAAATCCTGGTATCTAGCCCCCTCCCTGCTTCTGTCAAGCCTTCATACCCAGCCACTGCTGGAAGGCTTTTAGTGACAGAGGGCTCAACTACCTTCCTGAAACAGACCATTCTGCTTTTAAACGGCTCTGTCCCTTCTGTTGAGCCCAACTACACTTCCCTGTAATTTCTACTCATTGTAAACCCACAAAATGTCAGCATGAGGAAGACCTTAAAGGTCCCCCAGTCATCACTGGAGGCTGTCCAGTACGCCTTGTCATTATATAGGTGAGGAAGTGAAGGCTGAGATGGGGAAAGGGCATCTCCAAGGCTAGCTAGTGTGGGATCTGAATCCACGTCTTCTGACCCCAAATCCCTCGCTCTTTTCACTACTGCCCTTTAATGCCTCTTCCCTCTAACGGCCTTTTAGACACACACACACAAAAGCTTCATTCTGTCCTAAGTTTTCTCTTCTCCCCAGTCCCTTCGCCTGATCGAAACAGGATGCGGTTTGCAGCCCCTTTCCCTCCTGGTCACCCTCCTCTAGAGCCCATTCCGTGACCTTTCTAGCCCTGGGAGGAGTGGGAAGTGGGGGGAGGCTACAGCTGGCATTTGATGTTGCTTCCCGAGCAGCCTGGTTTGCTAGAGGAAATCCATCCTCCAATGAACCTTGTTGCTTCCCTGAGACAAGGGGCCTATCTGTGGACACTGGGACCAGAATGGTCTGGAAAGAGCCAGCCTTCCCCCCCTTCTCTACTTTGTCATGTGCTGTTTGACATCAGGCACATTGCTCTGACTTCTCTGGGCCTCAGGTGCCTCTCCTGTGATTAGAAGCAATGGGAGTATAGTGTAAACAAACTGGGTTTTGGGTGGAGGAGCCAGGTTCCAATCCTGCCCATTAATGACCTTCCTGACCTCGAGAAAGTCACTCCTTTCTCTGCACCTAAGGCTCCTCCTCCAATCTCCAAAGATTGGGTGAGGATGAGACAGACACTGGACACTTCTGAGAAGCCCAGGCACTCTGGGATGTTGGGACAGGACGGGCGAGTCTACAAGCTCTTTGCCCTTGGACAGAAGGTGAGGGAGGGCGTGCAGCTGTCATTCAAGGCTGTCTATCAGGCTTCAACCTGCCTTTCCAAGCTTTTCTCCCCTTCCACCCCTCATTCCTTTTACTCCAGCCAAAGGCCTCGTGCTCTCCAGTGAGAGGCAGCGTAGCCCAATAGATAGAGAGCCAGCCTCAGAGTCTAGAAGACCTGGGTTCAAGTCCTATGTGTGACCCAGGGCAAATACTTAACTCCTTAGGGCCCCAGGAGTGCTCTCTGGCTAAGATGCAGAGTCAGTACATGTCTACATGTTCTCCTTCTCCCAACATAGGGGAGGGAAGTCTTCCCCAGAGCCCTCTTTACCAGTGAAACCACCAGTCCAACGCAATAATCTGATGTTCTATGTACAGGCATGCCTTCCCTCTCCTCCCTGACCCTGCCTACTGTGGGATCTTGGTGAGGTCCATGAGGACAAGGACCCTATCTTCCTCAGCTTGAATCTCACACTCAGTATCTAGTGCAAGGCTGAACCCAGGAAAGATGTTTTGGAAACATTTGGTGAATGATTGATTGATTCAGAATCCAAATGCTCGACACAACCAGCCTGTTTATTGTCTGGCCATATAAAAGCCAGCCTGACTTGCACAAAACGTGTGTGGGATGGCTTAAATGAGGCAGTGGGATAGACTTTTCTTCAGAAGGGCCTTTCCAACCCTAGGCCTTTGAGACACAAAAAAATTGAGTTGGATTTTTTTTGCGGGGGGGGGAGTAGAGGAGGTAGATGAGGTTGGGGATTGGTGAAAACGTGGAGGAGGCTCCTCTGGTTTTCCAGAGGGGAGGGATATCCAGGCAGTACCCACTGTTCCCGTAGGATGCTGGGATCCACACCTGGGTCATTGCAGTTCGACATAGGCTGAAGGAGCCAGGAACGTGCAGGGGGGAATGAGCTCAGGACGAAAAGAGGAAAGGAGTTCTTTGAGGGGCGCTTGAGCAGCACGGGAACAACTTAGCTGAGCTCTGAAGGGAGGTAGGAGAGTCCCTGTGTGGGCATTGTTGGGCAGGAAGCGTGATGTCCCTGTACCCTGGAGTTAGTGAGCCCAAGAAGGTGCCCAGTGCCTTGGCTTTGATCTGGAAAGCACTGAAGCCAAAAGGACACGCAGATCAGCAGAGACCCTCCAGAGCTGGGACGGATCCTGGCACTGGCACAAATCTGTTCTACCCTGGGCACAGAAAAACCTGTTAATCCTTCCCATACGAGCCAGGTGGGACCCCAGAAAGGGTGATAACACTGAAAGGGCCCCACAGCACCAGGACCCTGGAAAAGGAGCCCAGGATCTGAGGGGAAAGGCTGTGATGGGGTTGGGAGTCAGACCTCAACCAATAGCTGAGCCGGAGGGACCTAAGAGGGCAGGCAAAAAGGGTGACACCTTCATTTTACAGGCGGGGAAGCTCTTTAACCAAGGACCCCCAGGTCTTCTCACTCTTGAATCCAGTGGTCTCATCATTAAAGTGCCCTCTGCCAACACACTTGACCCTTTCACCAGTGGAACCCCTCCATACCTGCACTCCTTCACCAACTTGTAAACCCTGCTCTCCCACCCATCATATCCAAGCATTCTTACACTTTCTCAGCTCCCTCAGGCACTTCCACCTTCTGGTGAGTGTATTCATACACAGACATATTTGCACGTGCATGCACACTGTGCACATATACACACACAGAAACACACACTCCCTCCCAACCATACCATTCGCCCCGAGGGCGGACACTCCCTGGCTGGTCAGCTCCCACCCCTGGATGTCCTGTTGCTTTCTCCACCCTAGCACCCAGGGGGAATTCAGAGACATTTCTAGTAAAATTTAAGAGGGGTAGGATACACATACCTCAGCAAGATGGAAATATACTCCATTCAGCTAGAGGAAATGAGGGCAGGGATTGGGAGAGAAGAGTAAGTGTGGAGTTTGTGTGTGCGTGAGTGTATAACAGCTGGAGCTGGGGGCTTAGGACTGAGAAGGCAATGGGGGTGTCTTTGCCTCTGGCCACTGAGGTGGAGAGGCCAAGGGGAAGTGGGTGTGGGGGCCAGAAGGGATTTGAGGAGGGGTCCATCACTGGCTTAGTACCCCTGTGTCTGGTAGCCCTGTGTCTCAGCATCAAAGGCGTTGGCAGGCTGCTGGTAGGAGCCGCCAATGTCGGGCCCAGCCTCCGGCTCACTGGCATAGGGGGCATAAGGCATGCTTGAATCCTGGCTTGGGTCCGTGTAGTCCTGGGAGAAGAGGGCTGAGTCGGCGCCGATCCGGTACCTCTGGAAGGCCAGCACCGCCTGGCCCACCTTGGGAGGGGGTGGATGGCCAAAGGCAGGAGGGTGGGAGAGGGAACACCAGGGAGGGGAGGAGACACATAGACAACAGCCAGGTTAGTCTGTGTTAATGGTTAGTACATGCACCATGCTACTCTGCAGGGTTAGTGCCCATAACATAACCAGTGAGCACCTAACAGAGAGCAGAGATGACAGATAAGGAAGCCTGCCTTCTGAGAATGAACCCACTGCAGCCAGCCAGCCTCCTGGTCGAGGGTAGTGTTGCCTGATGTCAGAAGCAACAGGTCAGGGAAGAGTTGTAATCTCCCTCGACCGATTTCCTCATCTGTAAAATGGGCATGCTATTATTTAGGTTACTTTCTCTGCAGGATTGTTGTGAGGCAATTGCCCTGTTAAACCTGACCATGTTGTACAAATGTGTCCTGTTGTTACAACTGTTTGTCTCATCCTGAAAGAAGATCCAGAAGAGGCAGCCTCAGCATGATTGTTCTTCTGTGGGCTCCCCTTTCATGCTGCCAGAGGGCAGAGGGGCCAAGGTCAGGAGATGTTCTTCCTGAGACAATAGGAATTTGTGTAAATCCATGAGAAGTATCCCCCTGGGACAAGCTTATCTATGAGAAGAGCCACAGCTTTGCTACTGCAGTTGCTAAGAGGCATCATCCCTAGACCCTACAAGTCAGGGGGCTGGAAAGAAATTAGACTGGCCTTAAAGAAAATGTCTAACAGGCTTTGTCATGGCAAAGGGTTCCAGGCACTGAAGGTGCTGTCCCCAATAGTCCTGGCAAGTGTGGCAAGTTCTGAGGGAAAAGTGGAGTTGGGCACTGCCCATTGACTGGACAGCCAGACCTAGAATGGTTTCTGTACCCGTAGGGCAAGCTGCCTGATGGCTAAGGAAGACAGATGGCCTCTTCCTTGCCCAACTCACCTGGGAGGATCCCAGGAAGACCCAAAGAGATGCTGCTGGGGTTTTGTAGGCACAGGTATCATGAGTCACCTCCCTCCCTCCCAGCTAGGAGGCTCAGCTAGAGCCAGACTTTGACAGGGAGTCTGGGGCAGGAAGGCAAGATGCTTCAGAGACTCTCAAAGCTCACAAAAACATGGAAGAAGAGCAGGACAGCAAGCAGTGGCTGTGGCTGCGGGTGGGGATGCGAAGAGAGTGTGTGAATGGGAGAGGGGAGTCATGATCCTGAGAGATGGTCAGGATGCCCCAGAAAGGCAGCTCCTCACAGAAGATACAAAAGAAGATCTCCTCACCAGCCAACAAGAAAGTTACTGTCAGACCACCTGAAGGGACCAAGATTTTTAGCCCAGAGAAGAGAAAACCCAGAGAGGACATGAGAAGACCATCTGGAAATCTATCTTATGGAAAAGGACCCAAGTGCTAGAAGGAGAAGCAGAGGATAGAGCTTGTAGAGGGAAATCTGCCTAAGCCTTAGAGCTGGCCCCAAGAAGAACAGGCTGCCTCAGGACATGGTAAGCTCTCTGTTGGCCAAGATTCCCAAGGAAGGTCTAGTGACCACTTGTCTGTGATGCTGCAGAAGGAATTCCTTCAGGATCACCTGTGAGGAGGCTCCGAGATGCCCTGGCTGGCCATGGCTTATCTTTCTTTAGATCCCCTTTCCTTCATCCAGAGGGCATTTTCTCTCTTTCTACACCTCAGTACCCTCCCAGATGTAAGCTCCCTAAAGGCCCAAAGAGATCATATCCTGCCTCTCCCCCTGCACCCACCCTTCACACAGTGGGCAGGGATGGTAAATCAATGCTATCGATTAGTGATGAAAGCCCCCACTATGGAAGAGGCCCTGAGTGCGGGACATCTGCTGTTGTCATTCTGAAGGGAGCACTCCCCCCACCTCGCAGATGACTAAATCAAAGATTAAAGGGAAGAGGTGTCAGTGATAGGACAAAGGGGCTTCCTTTAGATCCCAGTGGGGAACACTGATCTCAGCATAACACCCATATAGGAGGAGTCATGGAGATTCTGGTATATGAGGGGTGAGTGCGCCCAGGAGGGAGGGAGAGTCTGCTCAGAGTCCAGGCAAAGAGGAAGAGCTGGAGAAGGAGAAGATATCCAATGTTTATCCAGTACTGTCCAGGGTAGAGGGGGCTCTGGCCCACCCACCTAGGGATGGCTGATAGGCATGAAGATGGCTCACAGAGCCTCAGGCTACTGAGACTGAGGAACTCCCAGATGTGGCACCTAACTCCCTTACTCTGACTCCCTCCGACCTCACTACACAGCTCTGTTCTGAATTGCCTCTCCCCAAGCAGATTGTCCTATTGGGAAGGGATGTGTCAACCAGCTGTCACATATTTTTAACCTACTTGGCCCTTCTGTTGATCTACAAAAATGGACAGAATGGTCCTCTGGTCTTTCTTGGAATTTAGTCATTGTGAATCCACTCTCCAGAGCTCGATCATGCCTTGGAGAGCTGAGGAAAGTGAATCCTTTAATTAGCAGGGATGGGTGCTCTATCCTTGACCCCACCAAAGTGCAGGTATGGACACCCTATAAGTCAAGCTCAGGGTGGAAAGGAGCAAGTCAACTTCTCTCTGACCCATCTGTGTTATGACTTCTGCCCCTGCATGTGCCAACCCCCTCTCCCCTCCAACCCCAAGCCAGTGACACAGAGGTCTGTGTAATAAGAGCCACAGTGTCTGTCCTAGGGCCTGGGGAGGTCAGGTAGCTGGGGGGAAGGGGTATTATGGCTGAGGTGGAAGAGATGTGGGGAAGAGCGAGCTGTACTCCTCCTGAAAGGTGATATCCTTGAGTCTCCGGGAGGCCAGGAATGCGAGCATGCTCTGCAAGGAGAGAGCAAGGTTGAGTGGATGGGCAAAGAGCCTTTAGTTCAAGGCCCCATTTTTACAGATGGTGAAATGGAGGCTCAACAGAAGGCAAATGAACTGTCCAAAGTCCCTTAGGGAATAAATGGTAGTGCCAGGATTCAACTGCAGGTCCTCTGCCTTCATATGTGGGACTCCTTCCACCATCCCACAGTGCCTGCCTGCTTAGCTGGAGGGTAGAATGTCCTTGGCCCAGGGCAGGGAAGGGACTTGCCTCAGGGCTTATAGGGAGCAGTCACCCAAACCAAGAGGGAGACCCAGGTCTTCTGCCCCTGGCTTCTTTTCTCTCTCCCTCTCCCTCTATCCACTGTGCCACCTAGCTGCCCTTCCCCCACCCTGTGTCCTTTCTCCCACCACAGGGATGGATGCCCACACTAACCCTTCTGGAGGAAGAAGCTTGAATACAAATCCATAGAACATAAGTCTGACCAGGGGCTTCTGGGAGCTGTCTCCCTCACTTCTCTTCTTCCTACCCTGGCCCCCAAATCCCCAATGAGGTTATGGTAGCTAGGATTCTGGTTGCTGCTAACCAAAAGGTTCTTGGACAAGGGAAACCTCTGGTTTCAGTGGAGATGTCTGAGTACTAACAGGAGGAGCCAGGGTGAAAAGCAGGAGCAGACTAGGCAGGCAGCTGCCTTGGGCACAACAAGACGGGCTTTTGGTTCCCATTTCATCTTCTCTGTTAGAGTATAAACTCCCTGAAGGCAGGGGCTGTGGTGCTTTTCATCTTTGCAGCCCCAGCACCAAGGACAGTGCCTTGCACATTTGGGAAATGAAGCACTGGGGGGGATGAAGTGAGCGCAGGTGTCTTTGGACCCGGAAAATCTAGAGACCAACAGTAATGGCTTGTTTCTCAAGCTAGTGGCCAAAGCCAGCGGCTTAATAACCTTGGGGGTGAGTGACTGCCCTTTCCCATAGGACACCGAGCTCTCCTTTTGAGACAGGTCACTTGAGCACTGGCCCTGGAGTCAGGAGGACCTGAGTTCAAATCCGGCCTCAGACACATAACACTCAGTAGCTGTGTGACCCTGGGCAAGTCACTTAACCTCATTGCCTAACCAAAAAAAAAAAAAAAAAAAAGAAAGAAAAGAAAAAGAAACAGGTCATTTGATCCCTGTCCAAGGACTCTCTGGCATTCTTCTCACATCTGTACCTCTTCTTCCCACCCCCCTCCCCCATCTCCGTCTCTATCTCTGTCTCTGTCTCTCTGGCTTATGGTAACACTGACCATAGCCCCGTCCAGCTAGAGAAAGACATTCCCAGAGCCACAATGGTGGCACTTGCCAGTAAGGACAATAAGGGGCTGGTGATCACCTGGACAACTGGATTTGGAAGGCTGGCCCCAATTTTAGGACTTCCATTAGCCCTTGATATGCTTAGCTGCTTCATGGCCCCTAACCCCTACACTTAATGCAGAGACACGCTGTGGCCAAATGCTGATGGATAGGTGGTGACACGTATGGCATGGCATCAGAAGACTGATGCCCAGTATACTCTGCCTGCAAATAGTCAGCTCCTGCTGAAACCAGCCTAGAGGAAGGAAAACATTATTTCTGGTAGCTGGACCAGAAGCAAAAAAAAAAACAACAACTTACCCAGGTAAAGATGGAGAAGAAGGAGAAGGTGATGGCGGCTCGAGCTGCGTCTGTCCCTTCATTCATAGGATTGTCCTCAGGTTTGGAGACCTGCCACTGGTTGGCCAAGAAACAGAAACCAACGAACCAGAGGAACGCCCAGAAGGCTGCAGGAGCCCAGGAGAGGCAGTGTCAAAGGATGGGAAGGGGAGAAGAGGCATGAGAGGGTGGAGAAAGAAGTACACACACACACACACACACACACACACACACACACACGCACGCACGCACACACATTCATGCATGCATGCATGCACATGCACATATACATGTGAAACACGCAGAAAAGCAGAGAGAGACAGAAGAGAGAAACATAGTCATACAAGGGGAGAGAGACCCAAGATAAAAGAAAAGGAGCAGTGGGTGAAATCATTAAAGCACAGGGCAGGAGACAGAGGCATGGGTGTAGATATAAATAAGTCATGGTGGAGAGACAGAGATGACAGAGATGAGACGGAAGGACACAGACAGAGACAGAGACACAGAGACACAGAGAGATACAGAGAGAAAAAAAGTCAGTCATGTTTCTTGCATTCTTTTTACCTCTTCTGAGTTCTGAAAATTCCCCAGCCAAAGACTCTTGACACTCTCACCTCCCACCCCTGTACACAAGCTGTAACTAGGACCCAAGAGGAAAGTGAGGGGGAGAACCCAGTCCATACGGGAAAGCAGCTCTGCCCTTACAGATCTCACCATCCCTTCTCCTTAGGGTGTCTCAGACTTAGAAATACTATTCCTATGGCCCGGTCTCCCCCAGATGTCCACAGAGGCACAGGAGGAAGGCTTACCCCTCCTCTGAGGACATCTTCCGTTGCCATGTCACCCTGAAATACTGTGTGCTAGGACTAGACCCTCAGAGTTGAAAGGGTTCTCGAAGGGCATATGTCTAGCCCAGCTTTCCACTTATTATTTGAACCCCAGTCCCAGATTCATTGACAGGCAGGTGTCCAGCCTTTGCTCAAATACCTCAAGAGGCAGGTAAATTACTACCTAACCAGTCAGCCCATTCGATTGTTGTATAGGTCACTCCATTTTGAAGACTTCCTCTAAAAGTCAGTATGTCTCAGAAGCAGGATCTCAAATCCAGCTCTTTAGCCACCAAGCCACACTGCCTATCCTTAGGCACTTTGAAGTTTATAAAACACTTTTCTCTCAACAACCCTGTGAGGTACTTAGCACAAGTGCTATGATCCTCATGTTACAGATGGGGAAACTGAGGTTCAAAGAGGTGAAGGGTCTTGCCTATGGTCAAGCAGCCTCCTACTGGAAGAGGCAGCTTGGTGGAAAGAACATTGAGTTCTGGAGTTGGAGAACCAAGAGAGAAAGACAGAGTGCTGGGGGTGGGGTGGGGGAGGGGTGAGCTCTCTATCAGTTTACCACAAGCTGTTCTCTAGCAAAGGGAACTTTGGTCATGAAACTGAAGAAGATTTTAGGGGCACATGTGGTTTGGGTTGCTTTTTTTCATTACTGTGGAACATTAAAGGCAAGTTAACAGCTAGTTTAGAAAATGCATCCGAAAACCATTCACCTCTGGATAAACTGTCAAAGGTGATGAAGAAGCATTTCTGAAAAGAAGAATTACAATAACCAGATTGTGCCAAATCACTAATAACAGGAAAATGCCAATCGGAGCCACTCTGAGGTTTCACCTCACACCCAGAAAATTGGCAAAGATGGCAGCAGTACATGGTGGAGGGACTGCGGGCAGACAGGCACACTGTTATGCTGTTGGTAGAGCTTCGGATTTGGGCCAAGCTTTTTAAGACATGACTTGGAATGATGCTAAGAAAATGACCAAAAAGCTCATGTCCTTTGGTGCAGATATCTCATTGCCAGGCATGTGGCCAAGGAGATCAAAAAATAGAAAGAAAAGTCCTAAGTACAACAAAATATATATAGCAGCATTTTTGGTAGTGGCCAAGAACTGGAAACAAAGTAGATGCACATCAAGTTGTGATATGTGAGTATCAGCTAATATTCCTGTGCTGTAAGAAATATGATGAATATGATGATTTCAGAGAAACATTGGAAGACTTAAATGAACTGATGCCAAGTGAAATAAGCAAAGCCAGGAAAGCCATATATCCAATGACCACAATAACGTCACTGGAAAGTACAACAGTAACGATATCAAAATGTGTAATGATAATGACCAAGCTTGGCCCTGAAAAAAAAATATGAGAATGCACCAACCCCCTATCCTCATCCCTCACTTCCTAAATTGCAGAGGTGGGAGGGTATGGAGGAGGAACCCAACACACACTGGCACACTTAATTCATATTTTAGTTAATTTTGCTGAACTGTTTTCCTTTTTCTTTCTTTCTTTTTCCTTTTTCTTTTTTTTGTCTTTTTGCTAGGCAATCAGGGTTAAGTGACTTACCCAGGGTCACACAGCTAGTAAGTGTCATGTGTTGTCTGTCTGAGACTGGATTTGAACTCAGGTTCTCCTGACTCCAAGGCCAGCACTCTATCCACTGCACCACCTTGCTGCCCCCTTTTTCTTTCTTTCTTTCTTTCTTTCTTTCTTTCTTTCTTTCTTTCTTTCTTTCTTTCTTTCTTTCTTTCTTTCTTTTTTTTTTGTTTTCCCTTCTTTTAACATTTTTTTTTAATTATTAGGAATGGCTTTCTAGGTGGGGGAAGAGAGAACAATATATTGAGAAAGGAAGGTGATTTAAAATATATCTTTTTTTTTAAGATAGTATTTGAGAACAGGAATTAGATTTCAGGACCATGGCTTAAAATATAGGAATGACAGCCTCCTGAAGAAGAGGGCTAGAATGCACTTACAAAGGGCTGGGAAGAATCCATTTCCTGGCTGTGCTTGGTGGTATCCACCTGTAATCCCTGCTGCTGGCCATAGCTGAGATGAGGAAACTACAGGAGGTTAGGAGTTCTGCAGTATGAATAAAGCCAAGCAGGTACCTGCTTGGTCCAACACCAATACGGCGTGTCATTAAGAATGGGGGCCACCAGGCTGCCTAAGATATATAAAAGGTTGAGGAGAACTGAACAGCATTGTATGCATATCAATAATATGTATATATTCAATATGAATTTAAATATATATATAGATGTGTGTATATGTACACATACGTGTGTGTGTGTGTGTGTGTGTGTGTGTGCATTCAGGGCAGCATATACAATGCCAGCTGTGAAGTCAGGAAGACTTGAGTTTAAATCTGGCCTCAGATACCCAATAGCTGTGTGACCCTGGGCAAGTCACAGCCCTTTTTACCTCAGTTTCCTCATATGTAAAATGAGCTGGAGAAGGAAATGGCAAACCACTCCAGCATCTCTGCCAGGAAAGCTCCAAATGGGGTCACAAAGAGTCGAACATGACTGAAAATGACTGAATAATAACAACAAATTATATATATGTTCACTATAAGGATATTGAAGGATACCACTGGTGTTCTACCATGGCAGAAAACATTTGGATGAAAGATCAGTAGAGACAGAAACAGAATTAACAATTTTGTTATCAGGATATACTACAGATCTTCTGGACAGAAAGAGGAAATAGATGAAGATCTTGGGAAATTGCTCAGAAGCCTGGCACAGATTGTGACAGAGTATTTGTGGATTGTTTCACTTATCTGGATATCTGCTAGAACTCTCTCTGCCAAAGGTGGAAGCTTTAATGAGAATTTTATCTTTCTTCTTTTTTTTAAATTAAAAAAAATTTTTTTAAGGCAACTGGGGTTAAGTTACTTGCCTAAGGTCACACAGCTAGTAAGTGTCAAGTGTTTGGTCTGAGGCCAGATTTGAACTCAGGTCTGAGAATTTTATCTTTCTAAAGGTAGAGGAACCAACTAGGGAAACTGATCATTTTGAACTGATGATTAACCAACAAGGAAGACGCGGTTGTTGCAGTAAAAATGCTGGGAATCCTAGGAGAGCGACTGTTGCGCCCTAGCACTCCTGACGAAAGAGCCCCCCTATCTAGAGAGGCCACCAATATGCTGGAGATTGTCCAGAGGAGGATGACTAGGATGATGAGATCCTTGAGTTCATGCTGTAGGAGGAATGGGTGAAGGAACCAGAGATGTTTAGCCTGAAAAAGAAACTGGGGGGGGGGAGGCTGCATCATGGTTGGAGAGCTGTCACATGGCAAAGGGATTAGGTTTGGTCTGCTTGGCTCTGGACGGCAGATCTAGGAGCCATATGTTGTAATTGCTAAGAAGCAAATCCAACTAGAGCTCTTCCAAGGGGGAATCTGCTGCCTCTGGAGAGAATGGGATCCCCTTCATCGTAGGGCTTCAAGACAAGCATGTAAGAAGGTGAGTTCCTTGAGGGTAGGCATTGATTGGTTTGTCTCTGTGTCCCAAGCACCTGGCCCGGGGTGTGGCACACAGCAGGCACTAAAGCAGCCACGTGATTAAGGCAATGACTGACGAGCCAAGTGGCCACTTGCTGGGGACAGTCACAGCGGCAGCTCTGGTTTAGGCAGAGCTTGGATCAGGTGGTCCCTTTCAATCCGAGATTCAGGGACTCTGGGACCTGGATTCCAGTTCTGGCTGGGTGACCATAGGCAAGTTGCTTGACCTCAGTTTCCCCCTTCTATAAAATGAGGATGTTATGATTTCTAAAGTCCCTTCTAGCTCTAGACCCAAAACAATGAGTGACATAAGGATTTCAGAGCCAAATCTCATACCTGGAACCCAGGACAGCACTCTTTTGCCATGCCACATGGCAGTTAATTTCACTGTTTAAAGATCCACTCAAACCTCCAAGAAGCCTTCCTTGATTCTCAGTAATGACCTTGCCAAATCTTCTGCGTCATTTATTTGTGCCCTGTCTTATGAACTGGTCATGAAATATTGTGGGTTAGTTATCTGGCTGTAGGCCTTCTTCCTCCCAACTAAAGTGAAAGCTTCCACCACCCAGCCCAAGCTCTTCATACAGACCACAGCTAACAAATGTTCATGGCATTATACCTACCTTCCTGACAGCCCCAAGGATCATCACCCCCCCCCCAGTGAAAGGAAGGAAAGTAAGGTTAGGGGGGATAAGAAATGACTTGCCTATTTCAGAGAAAGAACCAGGGCTAGACCCCAAGTCTCTACTCTCCCAGGCCAAGGATCTTTCCCTGCCTTGCCTCCAGAGGGGGAAGGCTGTCTACATACACCTTTCCCTGGAGGGACCCAATGAGCATCTCCTCCTTGCAGCTAAAGATGGTGGGGGATGTGGAGGGGGGAGGAAGCTGAGAAAGGTCCAGCCCCACTCAGCCTTTCTAAAACTCACCTGAGACACCAATGTCAGAGATCACAGCTTTCTTCCGGTCTTTGACACTGCTGATCTGAGGGAAGTGGACATCCAAGGCCAGGTAGAGGATGCAGGTGAGGAAGGCCAGGACACCCACCGTGACTCCATAATTGCAGGCATTGTGGTTCCGGTTGTAGATGCAGAATTTCTCACTCTCCTTAGAGTCATTCAGATAGCCCTCATTCACGATAGAGCCAAAGACAACAATAGCAAACACCTGCCCGGGACAGAAGGCGGGGGAAACTGAGAACCAGATGCTAGTACCTTAGCAACCAGAAGCTGCCCCCACCTTCTTACACTGGTTTGAGACAACTGGACAAATACTTTGGGTGGGGCACAGAAAGAGGCAAAAGACAGTCTCTGCCCTCCAGGAGCTTACAGTCTAATGGAATGACATTGCCTTCATTGAATGGCATGATCTTTGGACCCAGCCTATGAACTTACCTTCCAGTTCTTTATATAGGGGTCATAGTATCCTCCTAAACCTGGGGCTTCATGAAAGTTGCATGACCCTTAGTGCCTAGTCATAGTAATAAACAACAACAACAACAATAATAATAATAGCTTATAGCAAGGTGGCATTGTGTAACTTACAGCATGCTTTCCTCATCCTGTCCTGTGAGACTGAGTACACAATCATTATCTTTGATGTTTTATGAAGAGTTTTCATCAATCCATCCATCAACAGGCATTTCTGAAGCATGAACCGTATATGTCAGGCTCTGTGCTAGACACTGGGGTTATACAGTCAGATCCAGAAACAACCTGTACTCTCCCAGAGCTTATAGTCTAATAGAAGAATAAACACAGGCCCACCTAAGCGTGTTCAGAACGTACATAGGATAAATCAAGCAGCCGGGGGGCGGGGGGTGGCGCTCTGGCAGCTAGGGGTGACACAAAAGCCTTCATGTGTAGAAGGAGGCCCAGGAGCTGGAAGGAATCTAGGGGTTCCGAGAGGTGGAGATGAGGAAGGGGAACATTACCGACGTGAGTGACAGCCAGGTCAGAGGTATGGAGACTGAGCTGGAGCATTGGGGAGGGAGGGAGGGCAAGCAGGCCAGATGAAGCAGAGTGCATAGAGGGGAGGCAGGTGGATGAAGATGGGACAGGTAGGAAGGACCCAGGCTGTTAAGCCTTTAAATACCAAGCAAACAAAGTTATATTTGATCCTAGGCAATAAGGAACCAGTGTGTGAGTGTGTGTGTGTGTGTGTGTGTGTGTGTGTGTGTGCATGCGCGTGTGTGTAGCAGCTAGGTGGCACAGTGGATAGAGTGCAGGGCCAGGAGTCAGGAAAACTTATCTTCCTTCAAATCCAGCCTCAGATACTTACTAGCTGTGTGACCCTGGGCAAGTTACTTCACTCTGATTGCCTCAGTTTCTTCATCTGTAAAATGAACTGGAGAAGGACATGGCCAACCACCCCAGTATCTTTGCCAAGAAAACCCCAAATGGAGTCATGAAGAGTTGGGCATGACTGAATAATGACTCGATGACAACAGCAACTGTGTGTGTGTGTGGGGTGGGTGTGGGTGTGGGTGGGTTTTCACACACAGGATAAACAGATGAATACAAGGCAGTGTGTAGGGAGGGCACCAGCAGTTGGGGTGGCTCAGGAAAGGCTTCATGCACTAGATGGTGCCTGAGTTGTATCTTAAAGGAAGAAAGGGGCTCCCTGAGGTAGAGGTAAGGAAGGAGTGACTTCCAGGAATGGGGGACAACCAGTGCAAAGGGGGTTTCCAGAAGGAGAGGTGGCTAACAGTGTCCAATATAGTGAAGAAGCCAAGGAGGATGAGGACTGAGGAAGGGCTGTTAGATTGGGTGCTCAGGAAATTGCTGGTAACTGGAGAGAGGAGTATCAATGAATGATGAAGCTATGCTGCAGACAATTAAGATCAGGAGAGAGGAAGGTGAGGCATCAGCTGATAAAGAATGGTAGTGGGGCTGGTGGGATCTAACAAAGGGCTTTTGAAAATGGGGAAGGCATGGGTGTGTCTGTAGGTGGAAGGGAAAGGGTCAGTAGATAAGAGAGACTGAAGATTAGAGAGAGCATCCAACCTGCTGAAGAAAAAAAAAAGGTGGGGTCAAAGTGCATGAAAAGACATTGGTCTTCGTAAGAAGGAGGAGGAAAAGGAGGGGGAAGAGGAGGAGCTGTCTTCATCAAAGATTAGATTAAAGGAGGAAATGGTGGGGATGATGTCAGAGGGCTGAGATGAGGAGGAAGAGGGGAGGAGAGATCTGCCTATTTCTCATCTCTCTCTCTCTCTCTCTCTCTCTGTCTCTCTCTCCCTCTCCCTCCCTCTCTCTCCCTCTCTCTCACTCTCCCTCTCTTACTCCCTTCTTCCTTCCCTCCCAATTTTCGTACAGAAAGTGGGGCCTGAGCTGAATCTTGAAGGAACAAGGGATTCCAGGCTGTAGGGGAGGCAGAACATCCTGGGCACAGCAGATGGCTAAGGGAGATGGAAAGACATGTGTGGGGAATAGCCAGAAGGCCAAGGGACCTGGGCCTTAGCGAGTATGGAGGGCATGAGTGTGTGAGGAGACAGGAAAGGCAGGAAGGGACCAGACTGTGAAACACTCTGAATGCCACAGGAGGTTAAATTTGGTCCTGGAGACAATAGGGAGCCACTGGGGTTTACTGAGAAAGGGGTAACCTGGTCAGAGCTGTGCTCTAGGGGCTATATGGGGGATGGAGGAGAGCGAGACTTGAGGAGACCAGCCAGGAACCTACGGCAATGATCCAGGTGAGCGGTGATGAGAGCCTGGTCCAAGGATGTGGCTGTGAGTGGAAGGAAGGGGGCCCCTCTTAAGAGAAGCTGAGGAGCCCAGAGAACGAGCTGGGAGGAGCTTCTGCACATATGGCGTCAGAGCTGGGAGGGCTCAGTGATCCTCATTAGACATCAGGTCAGATTTCAGAGAAGCGCATTGCCAATTCTATCCCACCCAGAATAGTGAAAACAACAGCCAAAAAGGCAAATGTATTGCGTTACTTCAAGGGACCAGCTTCTGTTATCTTGAAAAACCAGTGATGTGGCATGGGATGGCTGCACCCGAGGAGGCTGGCAGATGCAGCGTTACTATATGGGACTGATGTGTCCAATGAGTGACCCAGAGAAGGTTTTATGTCCTGAGACAACAGGAAATGTGGCAGAGGCAGAGACACTGAGGGCTTCAAGCCTGACTCTGACGTCCTCCTACCCGTGTGAATTTGGGCAGATCAGTTCTGGCTGAGCTGCACTTGCCTCACCTGTAAAATGGAGATAATAATCCTTGCATTACCTACCCTGACCAGGTTGTTTTAAGGAAAGCACTGTGTGAATCTTCAAGTCCCAGAAAAGTAGGACTTTGATTATGATGGAGGGTGTGGGGTTGACTAGAGGATGGGTGCAATGGGGGGGGGTAATGTATGTGAAGGGGAGGAGCCTTCAGAATAACTCCCCTTGTACTTTCCTCACAACCACCCTATAAGGTAGATGGTGCAAGTGTTATCATCCCATTTTGAAGATGAGGAAACTAAGGCTGGGAAGGGACAGGTAATTGGACTAAATTACTGTAAAATCCAAGAACCTCCAAGCTGGAAAGGCCCTCCTGGTGTCCCTCCCTGACTGGGCCCCACCCAGTCTTAGCTGATTGACAGTCTGCCTGCCCTCTGATGATAAGGGGAGCCACTGTCTCCTGAGGCAGCCCCCTCCATGCCTGGACAAACCATATTGTTAGAGGAGTTGGCTTTATACCCCCCCCCATTCCCCCAACCCCTGCTGGTTTTGCCTGCTCTGGCCAAGCAGACCAAGTCAGAGCTCACACACACACACACACACACACACACACACACACACGCACATGCCAGTCCTTTATATACTGAAGGCAGTGGACATGTCTCCCCTAAGACTTTTCCAAGCTAAATGTCTCCAGGGCAATGATCTTTGCACTTCCAAAGCATGCCTCCCTCCCATTCCGACCGTCCTCCTCTAGTTACTGACCATCTCTAAGGACCCTTCCAGACTTCAGACTGAGAATTGAACTGAATGGCTCTGGGGCCGTCTGGTCCAAACCACTCACCGAGGCCTCCCCACCACATTATCTCAGACAAGTGAGCACCCAGATCTTGACCCTGCCATTGTCTATAGTCACATGGTGAATGAGCATCAGATTTGGGGCACCCTGTCACCTGACGAGAAGAACTGTTGCTCAGCTCCAAGTTTCTGAGGCCAGGCCACTCTCTTTTCTTCACCTGAAGCAGGAATGCATGGGCAGGGCAGGGCCTGAGGACAAAAAGGTTCCAATTTGCCATGACCCTCTCCTTATTTCCTGGCTCCTTTCCTGTGCTCTTCCTCGTGAGAAGAGGAGGAAAACTGAGCACCAGAACGGCCCTGCCTGGACTAGGAATGCTTGTTTGGTTCTGGGGAACTGAAAAACCACTGAGGTCCCAGACCAGGCTGGCAGAGAAGAGCCCCCTGTCAGAATCAGCATCCCTATCAATTAAACCCTGGTTCAAATTGTCCTATTCCTTGGAGCTTCATCACAGCCTGGGGAGGCAAGCAATGCAGATCTAATGACCTCCATTTGACACAAAAGGAAACACAATGGATTTTAAGACATCAGAGAGGTGATGTGACTTGTACGTTATCACACAACAAGTTGGTGGATTATAAAAAGGGCCAAAGGGGATTGTTTGAATCAGATGTAGGAGACAAGATCACTAGCTGGGACTCTGAGTTACTATTCTGGGAAGCAGGTCAAAGACTATCTTGCCAATGCTCTGTTCTGAAAGACAAACAGACACATCCCAAAGGCTGGTCTGGATTCCAGAGAGGCCAGGGACTGGACAGGGGAAAGAGAACCACACTGAGAGGGAAGATAGGAATGGGACTTGGGATTTCACTGGTCTAGGGGACTCTCTCTACCAATGTAGGCTGGCACCTTACCCTCAACTAATACCCTTGCAGATGTCTGGGGCACTGACTTGTCCAGGGGGGCACAGCAAGATGGGTCAGTGGTACAACTTGAACTCAGATCATCTGGGCTCTGCAGCCAGCTTTCTTTGCAGAGCTGACAACTGGCCATGATAATTATCCCTTAGCTAGCAAATACTCAGGTCTCTGGCAAGGAATACTTTGTATCATGGAAAGAGATGATTTTGTAACTTCTGAACAGCTCAGAGAATCAGATTATCAGAGAATCAAAGCTCCTCATGTGCTTTTTATCTCTAGTCCCTAGAAC